ATTGAAATAAACTAAGCTCAGTGTGCCATCTATAAAAACTGACTTAAAAATTTGAAACAAAAACCAAAAGACGGTAGGAAATGACATTTCCAGAAAAAGCCTTAGCTTTCAAATTATTGGTGTATTTCTTTTGTCACTAAAAATGAAATCTTACTTGAAACCCAACAAGTGTAAGGGATCTGAAATGCCGATCTCCCCAACCTCCTCCTTCCCTAACCCTCACCTTGATTAGCTCCTGATACGCTCTGATTAGCTCCTGAAACATTAAAGCTTTTAGGAAAAGCTCTGAAGGGTCGATTGAGTGCTACTCTAGTGGCTAATCATTATCTAAAACTGAAATTTTATATTGTGAGTTCCATGAGCTTAGGGCCTTTTTTGTTTTGTTTACCACTTTATTTCCAATACCTAGCGCCTGACACAAAGTTAGTGCTTGATGAATATTTAGTGAATGAATGAGTGAATGACTATGACTTGGACTGTCACACACAGCAAATCGGTGAGGCTGCGACTTAAGCCTGGTTCAGATTTTTATCACTTAATTCCTGGAAAAATGCAAGCCTTTGGCTGGCCGGAGGGTCATTCTTACTTAAATTTCTTCTCTCCTCCAAATTATCCTGAGTATCTCTGCAAAGCATTGCAACTGAAGTATCATTTAATTCATAAGTTCATGCATTGTTCGAGGCATTTATCAAGTATTTTTGCACATTTATTATGTGTATCACAGGGGTCATTCTCTTGTATAAAACCTTAATTAATGCTTACATGCCCTAAATGAGATAGTATGTTTTCCATTTTAGAGTTAAGGAAAATGAGATTTAGGTATGTTGGGCTACCTGCCCAAAATCACAGTTACACCAACAAGGAAATGATAGAGCTGAGATTTCAACACAGGTCTATTTATTAGCTGAGAACATTGAGCTCTGCTTAATCATCGCATTAGTGAGTAGTATCTCAAGTTTAAATTCCTGCTTCTCTTTGGAGGGTGTCCATGATATAGCCTGCCAGTCTTACTTAAGTTCCTATAACTGCTGAACTTGCACCTGTGTTCCACATTTCCAATATCTTCCTAGTTATCTTCTGTGGATTGGCCTTTTTACTTCAATTAGGTTGTAAGCTCCTCAAAACCAGAGACTATCACTCTTGTATTGCATTTCTGTAAAGATCTATTCCTGTGGAAGGCATACAATAAATTCTCATTGAATACAGTGAGCGTGCCCTCTGTATCTGTAGGTTCCACATCCGTGGATTCAACCAATCTCTGATAAAAAATATTTATTAAAATGTTACATCATTGCTGATGTGTATTATATAGTTAGGCCTATGATGGTTGCATCTGTACTGAACCACAGAATCTTTTTCTTGTCATTATTTCCTAAACAACATAGTATAACTGTTTACATGGCATTTACATTGTTTCAGAAATTATAAGTCATCTATAGATGATTTTTAGTATACTGGAGGATATGAGTAGGCTATATGCAAATATTATGCCATTTTATGTAAGAGGCTGGGGCATCCTGAATTTGGTATGTGAGGGGGAGGGGTTGGGGTAGAGATTTTTGGTGGTCCTTTAACCAATCCCCCTCCAGAGGGCTGTAACTGATAAAATCTTTGGTAACAGTGGTTATTTATTATTACTGGAGGGGCTGCTGCATCACATTGAAGTTCTAATCGGGAACCATAACATTCTGATCCCTACCTTCCACCCTAAGAACCTTTTGCTTGTTTTCCTTCTGATCTAGAGTAATGGTTTTCCTAGGTTAAGTTAGTACATTTTAGTCCTTTACCATCCTTTCTAAGGAGCAGTGTAAACTACAACATAGACATCATCAAACAGCAATATTCTGTCCGCTATTTCCGCTCTCTTTGAGAGTGCTTTAGAGGGGGGAAAAAAAGAAAATGGAATAGTTGTACTAAATTTTTTTGAGATAAATGGTCAACGTGTTCGCTACCTTTTAATCGATTTAACTTCACTTAACTTTAAGTTTACTAGACTTGTCTGTTCAAGACCTCCTGGCTCAAGTTTCTGATACACAGAGCCTCGCATAGTCACCTCCCCCCGACCCCCCTCCCTTCACTACAATCCCTTGGAATGAATATTCTCTTGGAATAAAAGTGCCCCAGCTCCAGCAATAGGAGAGTCCACCCATCTGACCTTACGGCGCGAGCGGCACACAGCTCCCGTGACGCAGGGAAAAAAGGCGGGTTTAGGGCCGCCAGAGGTCTGCTTTTCAAAGGTCCTGCGGTCCGCCCCGCCCCCAGCGAGCGCAGCGCGTCACGTTGCGTCATACGCTCTCCCGGAAGTACCTCTGAGTGAACGGTGGGGGCGTGTCTCCAGACAGCCCCGCGTGTAGTTCCAGGAGAAACGCGGGGAGTAGGGCCCGGGTACAGTTATAGCCACTGGCAAGGTTGCTTTATTGCCGGAGCGAGCCGCGAGCCTGTCCGAAGCCCAGCACGCGAGGCTCTGTCGCGACGCCATGGAAGTAGTGGAGGCCGCCGCTGCTCAGCTGGAGACTCTGAAATTCAGTGTCACGGGCTGTGGGGTTGGCCAAGGTCAGGCGGTGCCGTCACCGGGCTCGGTTCCTGTCCCGGAGACACCGCCGCCACTACCGTCGGATGAGGGGTCCCCAGACACTGGGCAGGCCGCGGACGCTCAGCTGGCCAAGGAGCAGCCGCCTGAGCTCGTGCTCGGCGCCGCGGTCGGCGAGAGCTCCTCGCCGCAGCCGGGGCCAGAACCGCCACCTGGAGGTAACTGCGTCAGCGGCTCGGGCGCTGCGGAGCTGGCGCAGACCCCAGGCAACTTGGAGAACTCGGACTCGGATTCAGAATCGGACAGGTCGGGCGCCTGCGGGTCCCGAAGCTGCGGGGAGAGGGCGTGTGTAACCGGCGCGGGGGGCCGGAGCCCGGGGGGCCAGAGGGTGCCCGCGTGGGCCTGGGAGGGAGGCGAGGCCCCTGAAGCCCACTGCGCACGTGTTGACTCGTAGCTCGGACCGCCCATTTCTCACTTGTTGACTGCATATCCTGCTGTGAATCTCAGCCTAGTAATCCGATCGCTCTTCCTTAAAATTTTGTAGTCTGAAAGATGCTATGCATATAGATTGTATCATTTTCAGTTAGAATATAGAAAACCTGAGTATATTGGATTATTTCTATAACTACTTCGTTTGGCGTGTCCCATGTGGTTATAACTGAGTTTTGGGTTAGATCTGATTCCCCTCCCCCCCCGAAAGTTGAGCGTGTGCTTTTGTTTTTGAAGCAGATGAATTCGTTCAAGGACTCTGTGCTTCCAAATTGGCTCTTGACAATTTTGTTAATTCTAATAATCCATATGGGGAGCACGTGTTCGTGAAATCAGCAGAACATCGTTACTTAGTATTATCGCATGCTCTGATTAGGTTTTGTAGGGTTCCCTCCCTCCCATCCCCGCGCCCCCTGCCTTTTAAATATGAAACTTCTGTGGCGGGTGAAGACTTAAGGATTTAAGTATGGAGGATGTTCCTTATTCACACTAAACTTTGTTTACAAGTATGTGAGAGTGTTGTGTGGGATACAGAACAGGGGTGAACCACAGTAGAAACGAACCCTGCCCTACATTCTAGTGAGGGATGGAAAATAGAAGTCAACATAGCGTGAATAGAGTTGGTGAAAGTTACCATGAAGGAACAACCACGGCGCTGAGAAAGTATTAGGAGAGCCCAACCCTTGGAGGATCCTGTAGCCATGTTCAAGTTTTAATTCTAAGTACTAGAGAAGCTGTCGAAGAATTTTAAGCAGAGAAATGGCATGTGCAGGTTAACATTATTATAAGCTTTGTTCTGTAGACGAAGAATTGAACTGGGTTCAAGAGTAAAAGCAGAGAAGCAAGAGTGGAAGTAGTTGGAAAGATGTTGCGTGAGTCCATGATAAGACTGTGGTTGTCTTGAGTATTTTGAAGTCACCCTGATCAGGCTTGTTAATAGATGTGGAAGTGGGCTACACAAAGCGCCATCAGCTGGGTTGATAGTGGTGCTATTTACTGAGATGGGGGCTAGAGACCAAAAGGAATGTTTAATTTGGACAGTTATTTGAGATTTCTCTGACAGCCAGTTGGAGATGTCAGGCAAGCAGTAGTTAGATGAATTTAGAGTTTGGAGGACTGTTCTGGGCTGCAGATGTACATTTCAGCATCATCAGATTATAGATAAAATTTACTTTATTATGGACATTTTCAATCTTGGGGAAAAAGTAGAGAATAATATAATGATCGCACATATACTCATCACCAAACTTAACAGTTTCCAGTATTTGCTAATCTTGTTTTATCTAACATTTCTAACTTTTTTTAACCTGATAGTTTTAAAACAAATCTCAGTCAGCATGCCACTTCACCTGTAAATTCTTTACTATGCATCTCTAATTGATAAAATACTCTTCATATGACTAGCATGCAACCTTCAATATAACCACCACATAACCACCAATAATACTTCATTCCTAAATGTTTCAGGATGCATTCTCTAAGAGGGCATTTTCTTACATAATCACAATACTATTATCACATGTAACAGAATCAGTAATAATTACCACATAACTAATGTTCGGTCATAAACGGTTTTTTTAAAGCAAGAGTATGAACTGATGAGGATGGAAGGTCATGAGAGGGTGAAGGTAACAGCAGTAGAGCAGTAGGATGAAAGGGGTGATTGTTGTGGGGACAGAGTAGTATTGACATAGGTTATACAGTTATTACAGAAAAGCAGGTGAAAAATGACTCGAAATTAAAGTAGCAGTGGAAATGGATGGAAAAATGGAATAGGAGTGATGTTTACTAATCTGAAGATAGAATTTTGTCATTGACTTTGAGAATGGATAGCTCAAAATGATTCTGAGGTTTCTACCTATAGTAACTGGATTAAAGACTAAGAAATGAATAAAATAGAAGCTCAAAGAGAAGTTAGTCATTGAGGAGAAGGCACTTTTTTTCCCCTTTTAACTTGTGGCTGTGTGACACAGAGAGGTGGCCAGTATGCAGCCAGAGATCAGGGTGGAGCTTAGAGATACCAACATTGAAGATTTAGAAGTTCTCTGCACATGGAAGATGATTGAAAACATTGAAGTAGATGAGGTTATCCATGGGAAGAGTACAGAGAGAGAAGGAAAAATGAGGATGGGACTCAGCACATGAAACGGGCTAAACGTGGTAACCTGCAAACAAAATTTAAACTAAGAGGAGGGTTACTAGTAACAAGAATTGTGGTGGCAGTCAAGGGCTAGAGGTTTTCTGAGTAGACTGGTCAACATGGTTGGTGACTGAGTTTCCAACTTGTCTGAAGACTGAGAAGAAACTCTTATGGCAATTAAGTGATCTGGTCATTAATGACCAAGATGAGAAGTATTTAGCCCAGAGCCCTCTTCTGTCAGTGATTTGTCACATGCTTGATTATATTCAGACAGATGTGTGACACGTGAGACTAATGTAATAAGAGAGTATCAGTTATATCGGGATTTGAAATATTATTAATGGATTAAGGACTACTTTCCAAATACCATAGTCAACTTCAAAATGCTGGCTTTTGAATTATACCAGTAACAATAAACATGTACTAAAGTAGATATTTCCTAGTCGAATGATCTTATGTTAGTACCATCGATCATCATCATAATTTACTGACTTTTCAACGTTTTCTTCCCTACAGTGAAACCGATTCAGATAGTTCAAGCTCCTCATCTTCCTCATCGTCTTCCTCATCTTCCTCTTCCTCTCCTATATTACTTACTCCAGTGCTGTCAGATGGAGAAGATGATTTACAAGTCGAGAAGGAAAATAAGAATTTTCCTCTTAAAACAAAAGATGAGTTACTTCTTAATGTAAGTACCTAGATATGTCACTAAACCTAATTTGAACATTCTAAAATACATTGTGGTACTAATATTGACCTTATTAGTGTCAATATTTTATCTTTATCTGCTCCATAAATTTGAAGACTATTCTGAATTTCTTACTGGACATAATTTTGCCATGCCTTGCCTTTCTTAAGTAAAAAAGAAGGTTGATATGAATAATTTCTAAGTTTCTAATTCTAACATTTGATAATTGTTCTTCCCAGGGTGGCAACTTTATCTTACTATTTTTCATTTTTTATTTTCCCTAGAAGATATTTATTTTTTGTTATTGTTATTTTGTTTTGTTTTTATCCATAAGCCAGAAAATTTTCTCAATGGCAATTGAAATCATTCTTTTAATTATTGTATTTGGAGACATAGAAAATGAAATTAAATGGGTTGAGCTTATTAGGAATCTTATTTAGTTGAAGTTCATTGTAGAATGACACTTGATAGGTTTGGCTTGTAAAGTTAGCCCTTGTGTGACTGTTTCCTCTTAAGCTGTAAGCTGCTGCAAGGAGGATGATAGTACACTGGTTGAGATCTCATCGAGTCAAGAGGAAAGTCTCCTCAGAGTTTCAGAATATAGGCTATTTTGCCACGTGTTGATCCTCCCTGCCCTCACATGTACTTTAGTTATTATTAGTGGTTTTTATAAATTTAATGATCACTAATTTCAACTACTATGTAACACTTAAATGAGTGAAATAGTTTAATGCAAGATTTGAAAAATACTGAAACGCTTGGAGGTAGTAGGGTGCCTCTTCATGACTGAATCCTACCAATATTATTTCTTTTTTTTACTCATAAGAAATTTCCTGTCTCATGTTTCATGTATTGAAAGCCCTTGGAATTTTTATGCAGTTTCATCAGTGTTTCATGTTTTCATCCTACAGACATTGATATCTCTCAGTAGTCTTTTTACACAAAGGATCCCCAACGTATGACTCTTTTCTGAAAGTATTGGGGCACTTGTTTGGTCTTTACCCTGTGTCTTACTCTCCTTTCTTAAGTTTTCTTGAGAGTATAAAAATCAGCAAATAAAGGACTTATGTGTATATATCATCTTATTTATTTTACTAGATCTGGAATTCTTACTTTGGGACTCCCTTGAAATTTAATGTAAAAATCTTAGTCTATTTATTTAGGTATTTGTCTGTATACAGTATCCATATTTTCATCAAAGTCAAAAAGGATCTGTGGCCACAAAGAGGTCAAGAACCGTGTTCTTTGATGGACTAAGTTCATATCTAATTTTTGTAGCTTTCATAGTGCCCAGTAGAGTGCTTTACAGGTAATGGGTTCTCAGTCAATAGTAATGGAATGAATGAATGAGTGAATATGCATCTTACTTGCATTTGTTCTTAAACTATTATAGCACTCTTGCCACATGCTAGGTGTTGTAAACAAGACCCATCCAATTTCTGCTTTCATAGTGTCTAGGGGAGAGGAACAGATGGTAAATAGAGCAGAGACAAATAAATTTAATTGCTGGAAGTGCAATTGAATTCTGTGAGTGTGTATAGTTGGCTCATATCAGAAAATTACATTTTTACTGGGAAAGTATGTTAGCTTTTAAAACTTGGAAAAATGGGCTGGTCCTTCCCTTTATGTGCCAGTTCCAAGGGATCTTTGGGAAGGATAGAAGAGGTCTTTATTTTTCAATTTTAGATTCTTCACAAGCTGTTCCTTTATATTTACGCAACTAGGAAGTAGACCTGTTAGAAGTTCCTAGTCCTTTAGAAATCTCTGTTGCTAGAGATAGGTAGAGTTCCCTGGCCTGCACTAAATCTTTGACTTAGGGCCCTGAAAGAGTACATTAGGACTCCATCAGGCCCTCAACTCTGAAGTTCAAGGGAAGAAAATGACTTGGGCCTTACTACCAAGGATGGTATGGCTGCAGGTACTCAGTGTCTTGAGGACTCTGCTGCTTTCTCGGTTGCTCATTAGGTGTTTCTCCATGGGGCTGGCAGTTGGCCACTGATACTCCTGTATGAAAGTCATGGAAGGACTTTTACTGGTTTGCCTGCATCTTGGTACGCAGCCCTGAACCAATTACCGAGCCTAGTGGAATGGATATACAGATTGCTCCGTCATGAGTCATATAGCCACTCCTTTTTGTGTGGGAGAATATGTAGGAAAGTGTGTGCTTGAGAGAAAGCACATGCGTGAGGGCTGGAGCGTATGGGAGTGGTTGACAGAAATGGAGTGTGAATGTGTGTATATTTTAAGAAGGGTAGGGCTTGGGTGGGTGGTATCAACCCCATGCAGACCAGGGGGAATGGATTCTCAGTCACAGGAAAGGGAGGCTTATATCCATTTCAGAAGGGGATGCCATTCAGTTGGTAATAGTAGTTACCTTCCATAGAGGTGAAAAGGGAAATACTTGGAAGGTGTTGCCACGTGTTGGACCCTAGTGGCTGTGAGCAGTGATACTTGGAAAGTACTTCAAGGGAAGGGGGATTTGCCCTAAATTTATTTCAATAGCAAAGTCATTGGGAATTAAGGCAGCTCTGTAGGATGGCCATGCTGGTTCCTTTATATGCTTCTTGGATATTCTCATAGTTCTCTGTGTGTCATTTTATTCTTCCTTTACTGACTGACTTCATCCGTTTACCTGTAGAGTGACCTTTTTCATTTTAGCAGGTGCATGGGTTTCTGTGTTCTTGAGTCTAAATATTGTTATCTTCTACTTTCAGCTCCCCCCAGCAACTGGCTAGTTAGATTTATATTTCTTTGCTCACTTTTGAGATAATCCTCTTACTTAGCTTAGATTTGTTTTTGTTTTTATTTTGTTAGCAAGTGACAAACCACTCTTCCTAGAAAGTGTTTCCTCTTGTTATAACTCTAGCTGGTGTTGTATGTCCTGTTCTGTTCAGGCCTAATGGGATGGGAGTCACCAGCTAGTTAGTTGTAACAAAATATATTTTCTGAAGAAAAGTAGTGAAATGTTTTATCCATGCTGTCTTTGCTCTAAAAGGTATACATAAATTGAAATGGGCCAAAGAGTTAAAGCAATTTTAGAGTTTCGGCTGGAGGCTTAGAGAGCTCTAAAACATAGACATGCCCAGTTTAACGTAGTTTTATGTCCCAGCTTTTTATAAAGCGTCTCATAGTTTAGGCAGTTGTCTGTTGTCCTTTAGGCATGCTGAGCTTAATTCTACCTCCATTTAGTCTGTTTGTCAAGCAGGAATGTCGCCTCCTTGGGTCTAGCTTTTTAAATCTTTTCTATTGTTGGAAAGTTAGATGCTGGTGATCTAACTACTAACTCCTGCAGATATTTCCTCATAAGTATATGGGAGTGTATGGGTGAAGTAACCTCGAGATTGTTGCTTTAGAGTTAAATCTTAGAGTTGCAACAACCCCTTGAAAAGGTTGGGTTATAACTGGATTGAGGAAGAAAAAAAAAGGGGGATTAGTCAGCTATAGAGGCGTTGAAAAGGCGAGTCTTAATTGGCTCTTTTCATAATGTGTTGATTATGTAAGATATGATGTCAGATAAAACCAAGTGGCGTCATTCTTTTAAACATAAACCCTTCTTTAATGCTGAGAAGGTTTATATGTAACTTGCACAGTAAACATAAAGCAGCATGCATATTACAGCCTTGGAACTACATTAAACCACACAGGGTTTATTTGGTGTTTCAATGAATTGGAAAATTAGATTCTTTTTGAAAAATGCAATTTATGCACTGAACTCTTCATTCAGATAAATCAGATGTAATTACAATTTTTAGAATCATAAAAACATTTATGGAATTGTGACATTTTAAAGTCTTAATCAGAAATGAATTTTATCAATGCCTATTTTTTGAATACATGAAAAGTTTTATATAACGTTTGAAAATTATGATTACATTGCTTTTGGGGATTAAAAACAAAGGATGATGCTGCAATAAGGATAATGGTGTGTATTTATACACACAATATAGCATGACCAAGAAACAAATTTAATGGTTGTAGGCAATTCTTGGTAAATTTACCTTCATGATTTGGAGACTGCCTATAGTACATTTTAGAACAAGTGTACTTTGTAGTTAGTTATATTCTCTTTCTGATTCTGGCAATGCAGACACATATCCTAAAATATCCTAACATGAGGAAATGGATATATCTGGGCCACCTCAAGTGGCCAGAAGTTAGAGTGGACTATTTCATACCTTTCCATCTCCCACTATCTATGAAATCATATTGTACCTTGGCCTATGCTTAAGAATTGTTCACTGAATTACGTGTATGTTGTTTTCAAGGCCTAAGTTAGTTGATAAGGTTTGTCCTAAAATGCAGGCCTCTTTCAACTTTAGCTTTTTATGACTGTTGATATATTTGGGATTACTACATTGTACCTTAGAATACTGATGGCACTTATTAACATTCTTCTCAAAATATCTGATTTTTAAGAAATGGCTTATATACTTGAAAGAAGATCATTTTTCATTAATATTTGGTATTCTTTAAAAATATTGTTTAAAAATTAATCTGTGCTTTGTTGTTTAAACTGATTTCAATAAAGCTTATATCAAGCATGCATGATCCATTACCTTCAAGTAAATGCTGTTTTATTCAGTAGCATATCCATATATGTCCTGCGCATATGCATATATGTGATTATTACCCAGAAGCAGTCTATTTATTAGATTCCCCCATTCCCCAGTAGATGTTGTTAATAAGTGAGTTCCGATTGCTTTAGAGGATAAAGACAAATGTCTGTTAAAGAGGAATTTAACTAGGGAGTGAGTATACACACTTATGCTGAAAGCAAAGTCACACCAGAGAGAGAATGTTTGACTGTCAGGCAAATGCTGCCCGACAGAAGGAGCCATAGGATTGAGTGGAGGGGGAGACCACTTGCACTGCAGTGGTCAAGGAAGGCATTATGGCTTGAACTTAAATAGAAAAGTGGACAGGATGTACGTGCAAAGTGACAGGTAAAGAGAGTATGAACTTTCCCAACGAAGGGACCAAGTCTGTTGCATGATGGTTAT